AAGTATTTTCTACTGTGTTTGTTGGCCAGGAAAATACTGGGGAAAGAGCAATGTTCCATCCAGCAAGGAGGTTCATCTCTCCTGGCACTTCATCTCCTCTGTGAAGCATGACATAAGCTAACATTTCTCAGGTTAATGGTATTCCTTTGTAGCCTTTATCAGGGGCTGGTAGGCTAGGCTTGCATTCTCTCATGAGCAGGCAGTGTCCCTCTAGTACAAGATCCTATTGCTGCTGGTTCTTCACACACAGGGAAAGGAAACGCTTAGTGGTAGCATTTGTAATGAGGTGTTTCTCTTGCTTTTTGAGAGAACAGTTTACTGTTCCCCTACTAAAATTCCAGCCAACTCCAAAGCAGCCTAATGCTACTAGGTAACTCTATTTTTCTGACATCCTAGTCTTCCAACTTAAACATGGTCTTGTAGTACTTAGAGTGATCTAAGTTGTCTAGATTAATCTTTGATGATAAATAGTGATAAGCTTTACACTAAACTTGCCATCTGGCAAGTTTAGTGTAAAGCTTATCGCTATTCATCATCAAAGATATTTTATGTGTCAACATCGACTATGCGTAAAAAGTTGTTAATAGAAGCTCCTGAAAAATTGCCTCTTCCAAGCAGCAGACTTGTGGGTCATCCTTTAGAACAGTGCCTTTTTGTGGCTAGTTATTGGAACTCTTTCAGTCATTTGTTTCAAGGTACCATTTCACTCCTCACTGGTTCTCTGTGCTATTGTTCCTATCAGTTATGTTTCAGCCTTTTCACTTTCTTCTTTTTGGATGTGAAATTCAATTGCAATAAGCTGCTCAGACACCTTGTGCTTAGCAGGACCAGCATGCTTTACTCTTGTAAGATATCAGCAAATTCCTGCCACTTTAGGGAAAAGAGCTTTATGATGTGAGAGAAATGCAGAAAATTTCTTGTTTTATGAAGGAACTGGGAGAGAGGGAAAATGTGTTTCTAGCTCATGATTCCAGAGCATGTCATGCATGTTCAAATTTGCATTTCCCACAATAAGACTCAGATCTAAAAGTCAAGTAGAGCTTTCTTTTCTGAGAAGTTTTCTGATTTTGCTAGCCAGTCATATTTGTATGCCACTGAAAACAAGGGGGGAAATTCTAAGATGTTCCCATTCCCATTTCAGTACTGAATATTTGAAACCAGATCATAAAACAGCAGTGCTGTCCCAGTCTAGCAAGTGTTTATCCATTAAGTGTTGTGGCTACAAGGATATCTGCTGGCCTTTTGGGGCTTTAGAAGTTTTTACAAACTTTTACAAACACACAAGTTTTGTGTGTATAAAGAATCAACATACTGCTTTTAAATTACTTTTTTGTATTGCTTTACACAGTCACGCCTGATTGAAAACAAAACTGTTTCATTATGGATTCAGCTTTCACAAATTGAGTCAGATTTGATTTAAATAACATGAATTAGATACTGTCTTCCCTCCCATCTACGACTGGTTTTGGGAAAAAGTAACCCTTAGAAGGGGTATAGCTTACTAAAAAGGAGAGCACTCTAGATATGTCTGATACTGGAGGTCTTAGGGATGTGTTGGAGCTGTAGCTCCAGCCAGGTAGCATAGAGGAGGCTCCTTACTGGTAAGAAACTTGTGGTTTGGAGGAACTTTTAGGCAGGCCTTGGCTTCTTAGTCATGTAACATTTGGAGTATAGGATCTCTAATCTTCCATACAACTTTCTCCCCATCTGCTTTGCTCTTAACACAAACAGTGCCTTGAAAAGAGTTTGTCTTTGCTGGAGAAAGAACAGATACAAAAAATGCTTTATTCTTAGAGTCAGAATATAATTTTTGGGACTGGAAAGCTTCTTCTGCTGGGGAGCTGAATCTAAAAGGCATTTGCAACCTTATATTCAGAGCTGCAATAGTGATACTGGTCTAGAGTTTTGTATGTTTTGTTTTGATTTTTTTTTTTTTTTTTTGAGCCAAGGAAGTGTGGAAAAATACATTAGTGTTATTGATTTGGCTATGTAGAAAGTCATCAAGGAAAAAGGTTCGAGTTTCTATCAGAAACAATGCTTTGTTCCACCTTTTCAGCCCTTTCTATTTCAGGTTATCTGAGTAGCAGTCTGATTCAGTGGTAAGAATCAAGGTCATATTTTATTCAGTACAAGAAAATGGAAAATCTGGCAAGAGCCTGGATACCTGTTTTGAAATGGCTTTATTTAGTCCTTTCTGCTACAGCTGCTGTCAATGGAAAGAGATAAAGCTGATGACAGTATACAGGGAATTTACTGTTCATTATTCATGATTTGCTAAAGGTTTAAATCTGTGAAGGATTTTGTTATTAATTTAATAGGTCTTTCAGGTTTTCAGGTATGATTGGCTGGCAAGAAATTGGATGAAGCAATTAAAGAAAAGATGCTTTTTTTTTTTTTACTTACTAACTTTGACAGAGAACTTGAGAACAGAATTTAATCTATAACCATTGTCATGGACAAATTCACTAGTTAAATTGCAGTGTAGCAAGATTATGTTTATGCTTAAATCTGTCATTATTTGAATAAACTCTAGACTTATATTTTGTGATGGTATCCTCAGACCTAACTAGCTCTGTTGTGAAGGCTTTAATTTATAAATAAAAATCTGAATTACAAATTTAGAGCAGTTGTAGGCTTAAATAGAATGTGAAATGAGTGAGTGAATGTTTACCTGTAATGTAGAAAGAGCCTTCTGAAGAGGAACAATTATCAGTAGTGTTGTATAGTATTATTTGTTCTTAAAGTAAATTTGAGGATTCTTAATGTAAATAAAAATTAATGAACAATGCCAGAACTTGTATTCCGTAAGAACTTGATATTGAGTGCAATGAACCAAAATGCCAGCCATGCTTTGTAGTCCTTACAAATCTTAGTTGTGGTCTCAGCTTTTTCATCTAGATCCTTACTAATTTGTGGCTTGTCTGTCTTTGCTCCTCCTGCTTAGGAAGGTTAATGTGTCCTTTCATTTGGGACTGCAGTAGGTGCACATTGGGAGCATCAAGGCAAAAAGAAGGGTGGTGTTACAGGAGTCAATAGCATGACAGTTTTGATACAAACCAGTGTGGGGAAGGACAGAAAAAAGCCAAGTCAGGCTTTGATTTTACCTTCCCATTAAGATGAATGGAAGAAACTCCAGTTCTGATTGCAGATGTCAGTCATCAACTGAAAAGCTCGAGTTTTAGACCACCACAGTTTAAATTTACATCTGTACCTACTATAATGTGTTCTGTACTTACCACTGGACATGTGGACATTACAGGTTCATTTTATGGATTGTTCAATATTAAATTGAGCAATTTCTCTCCGGTCTTTCCTGGAATCTGACTCTCAAATTGTATTCCCTTTTACAAATATGCTAGTAATAAATTGCTACATGTTGCCTTCTGCTCTGACGCACTTGCAACTTTTTCAGCATACTACTACTACTGTAGATATTATAAAGATTTAGTGCTTTAAAGAATGTCTTGCAAGTACTTTATAGGCACAGTCATTTCTATTAAAAAAGCATGGGTATTCTTCTGTAAAGGAGCACTTTCAATTTACAAGTAGAATACTACCCAAAATAGTGAGGTCTTCAAAGCAAAGTTGTTGGACAACACTATTTTTCATTTCTTGGAGCCTGACAAAATTAAATTTCTCATTGCAGATTCCTCCTTCTTTTTCCTCGAAGAAAAGTTAAACAAAAGGAAAAGTGAGAGGAAAAAGCATAATGAACCATTGTAACATCCTGGCATAGAATCCACAATCATTATTCTCAAATAATAAAATTATTTTGTTTACGAGCGTCAGAGCATTTCTCAGTTTCTTCTTCCTCAGTTACTGTCTGTTAGTTGTTGCATATAAGAAATCTTTTAGTGTTTTGTCTTAATGATGTTACCCAAGTTGTTAAGCAAACAAAACTTCATCATCAAAATTGTGATGTTAAACTTCAGTTCAGCCGCAGTGTCTAATTAGTTTGTGTCTTGGTAGTTAAATTATAGGGAGGCTGTTGCTGTCCTCCTTTATAAGGGTATAACTATGATTGTAATGGCTTGCATAAAATGTTTTTAAAAAATAAAACCATTATAAATAAATATATATATATATTTATAGTAATATTCTTATATTGATAGACTCTGGTTTATTATATAAATTTCAATATCTTCATTATGGGAATTAGCAAATTGTTTCACATTAAAAATTACTGGTTGAACATATCTGGTATTTTCCTAGTTTAGATCCATGTTTTGCTTTCTTTTATAAGTTGGCCAAAAATCTGGCCTAAGCATCAGACCAGATATCTGGGAGTTCCTGGTTCTGTGCTCCCTTCAGATGAGGTTGTATAGACTGTCAGTCTTGTGTTTTCTCCTTACAGAATTAATATATTTGAATTTTCATGTCCACATAATTGTCCAAAGCAGAAATTTCCTCCTCTATTGGTCCAATAGTATTCTTGAAGTAATTTGTAACTTAATTTATATTATACAAAGTCAACTTGTTTGAACTAAATACTTCATCTTTTCAAAGAGACCAAATGAATTTGATATAATTGCTTAGAGTTTTTTGTGATATATTGTATCATTTGTGTTGTTTTACCATTTAAGTGGATTTGACTTTGTTTCCACAGTAACGGACTGCAGTATTGATCTTATATTTTTAAAATGAAAAAACTTACCAAAATGTTGTAGGAGATGATAAAACATTAAAAAATATGGATTTTCCATATGTTGAATTATTCAAAGGTTGGACTATAGTCTCAATGCTTTTTAATCATAAATTATCTAAAAGTTTAATTAATAATTCAGAAGGTGTAAAGCAGTTGTTTAGCTATCTGAAAAATTATGTTTATTATGTTGATTTTATAGCAAAACTGAGGTACGAAATACAGTTCTGGTGATTAAGAGTGAAATAATAACCATCATCTCCTCTAGATGCATATTTTCTTAAGCTGTATGCTTTCACATGTGAATGTTTATTTTATAGCAGAAAATATCTTTTTTTTTCCCTTCCTGTGATTACAGAAGCTGCTGGGTTTGTTTTGCTACCGATGAGGATGATCGGACAGCAGAGTGGGTGAGACCCTGCAGGTGCAGGGGCTCCACCAAATGGGTGCATCAGACTTGTCTGCAGCGCTGGGTGGATGAAAAGCAAAGAGGAAACAGTACTGCTAGAGTTGCTTGTCCTCAGTGCAATGCAGAATATTTAATAGTATTTCCAAAGCTAGGTAAGATACAGATAATGTAAATTGTTGCTTATTTATTTGTTCTTGCTTTCTTTGTTTTTTTCCTTTCTTGTGCTCAGAGCACCACCTCTGGTGGAAACTTGTCTATTCCCTTTTCCAGGCAGAAAGAAATAACATTATATTCTGCTTGCATCTCATTTGGTGGCTTAGTTAAATATCTTTACAAATTTTGGATGTATTCCACCTAGGTATATACATAAATCTTGCCATTGACTGTAATTATTTCCTGGCTAATGGGATTATTTTTCTTGTTGAGCAGAAGTTGACTTTTTTCAGCAGTTGCCACACAGCACATAAACACACCCTTTTTTTGACTCAGCTTGCAGAGACACTTACCAGAGGAAATTCAGATGAGAATTTCCTAAGCAGCACATGGTATTACTGGAAAAACATACTTTCACTTTGGTCAGGAGGTGTTTCTGAGGTAATATTGCCCTATAATCAAGAGACAGAATATTTATGATTGCTGGGTATGGCTCTAGCTCTCTGTTTGTCAAGGTGAAAAAAAAGTTGGACATGGTCTTCCAGTCTCTTACTTGAGTAGCCAAGTAGGATAATGCACAGTATGTTGCATGTATTTAAATTAGCAGTGCTTGCTGTTATTTCAGCCCTTGTTTGCCCATGTGTTCTATGGGATATATTAAGCCCATATATAAATCAAGGAAATTAAACTTAAGTTGCCATGGAAACTTAAATTTTGTTTAAAAGTAAAACTGCTTGTTATAGAAATGGTGACGTAGCAATTGAGTGCAGGCATTGAGGATTTTAAAGAAGATTTTTTTAAAGCATCTTATTTCTGTAATAAAAGAGCTGAAAATAACTCACTGTCAGTTCTTTGGGACAGGACCTCTTTCTTATTCGCTTAAGGGCTGACGAAATTAAGGTGTCAGGGGAATTTTGAGTGATGACATTTACTTCCATGATAGAACACTGAGTAATAGGAAAGAAAAAATACACAACAGTACTGCATTGTTGATATAAAAAAAGACATAAACCAGTATGAAACTTACTGCAAATTATTTGTATAACAACCACAATTCGGCTTTGCTGAAAAAGGTAACTCTCCATCATAAAGAAGGTATCAAATGATAACATTTAGCATTGGCTTTGAGAAGAAAACTGGGTTTTCATCTGGACACCGAATGCACCACAAAACTTGACACTGTTTGAAATTCTTGTTTGTATCTTGACTGATGAAATTGTAATGCAAGATGCATTTGCATTTTATTTTGACAATGGTGAAAAGGGGTAGCAACTATAATTTGGCAGGATACATTAACATAACAGGCATTTTAATTTGCTCCTGCAATTCGTGGCATACTGTATTTGAAAGCTTAGATTCTAACATTCCTGGATTCTGAAGCTGGTCGGTCTAAAATTCTTTCATGAGGTTATTCAGCTCTTGCATGCAAGTGAGACTCCCTTCATGTATTTTGATATATTTTCCCTAATAATACCATCTTTTTCCATTTTTAAAGATGAGGGCATAAAAGTTCAGACTTGTACAAGACATCAGTAAGAGAGCAGGGAAATTAATCTGGGTCCATGGAACATCAGTCATGACCTTGAAGTGCCTTAAACAAGTGAGCCAGCCTTGCCCTTTTGCAGCTCCTTCTAGTAACCCAAAGCTGTTATAGCACAATTCAGCTACAAGTCAATCAAGGTCACACCAGGCAGAGTAAGGACAGTAAGAATTTTCCAAGAAGCCTTGCTAGTAGCCCTATTTCTTCTGCAGCAGGTGTCTTTTGAAGACAGTATTAGTCATACCCTTCCCTGAGCCATCACAGTTCAGAGACTTACTTACTTGAAGACTTCCCTAATGTACTGCTGGAAACTTTTTTCTAAAAATTCTGTGAAAGGATACCCCCAACACAAATTTTCATTTATGATTATAGTTTAGAAGTAATATCAACTTGAGGAGACATCACTGGATATAAGTAACAGTGGGTGTTTTTTTATATATTTACTAGTTCAAAACAACCTCTCATGAAGTATCTCAAAATCATAATTCTATTTTAGATTTGATAGTGACAATCAGTTCTGGTGATTGGTGGGAATTATGTTCCTGTGAGCTGTTTTCTGCTCTTTTGAGAACTTTCATTAAATAGAAAAATAATGTTACCACTTTGAAAGTAACAAAAGTATCTCTTAGATAATTACTTCAGTTTAATAAAAAGAAAAGTTTGGCAGAAAAAGCTCTTTAAAGCATGATATATTTTTCAAAATGAAAGATATTTTTGTTTAATATTTTCTTCTTTAATTTGGGTATCAGTTATATTTATTTTCCTGTTTCTTCCTCTGTACCACCTTAAAAAGCAAAAACAGTTTTGTCCTCCTTTCTCACTACTTCCTGCTTAAGAGCTAATTAAAAGATTTTTTCAACAATTTTTTCCTAGTATTTTCTCAAGATTCAATACCTGATTCGCTAGCCAAGTTTCTCTTAATAGTATCAGTAGGTGAAATTTATTAGTACTTGTGTTATAAGGCAACCTTCATTTGAGTCTCCTGTCTTCAAACATAAGTTTTCAAAATGGTACAACCAATTTTTTCAGTGACTCTGGGAAACAGTCAAGATGTGTAAACTACTGTGCATTTAGTACTTGCAGTTATGACCTTGTTGCTACTTCCAGCATACTGATAAACATCCCTGCACCTTCTTAAGTGTGCTCTGGAAAATCAAACACAACTGTTAAGAGTTGAACTGGATGTTCCTGTTGCTTTTTTTCCACCAGCTGACTTGAGCTGAGTAGAACTGGGGCTTTTGAAATCATTCACAATAGAGCTATTCTCTAGAAAAATAAGAACTAACTAAGTCATGAAACAAGTCACAATTTTGTCACTGGTAAACTTTGAGAGACATGGAGGATTAGTTACTTGAGGAATGCCTGTAGGCTGGTTTTGAGAATTGTCACTGATTTTTGGTTGGAAAAAGTAGGAGGGAGCTCACAGGAACTGTTCATGCATATGAGCTGTGGGAAGACAGTCTGTATATAGAATTTGTTGACAAATACAAAAGTATTGCAGATTATGGTGATGGTGGTTTTCACTTTCAGTGAAAATGAACATACATTTCAGTGTTCTGGCTTTTGTTTCACTCGTGCTCTTGCAGTCCCTCAAAGAAAAGATGCAGGCATTGCCCTTGTTTCCCTCACCAAAGGTAGTCAGGGTGTTTATTTATTGTCTTGCCCTGTGTAAGTCTGGAAAGTGCAGTTGTACATAGAAAGAACAATGCACCTATTCATGTGTTGTTGTCAAAGGCACTGAATAACCTGAATAGGAGTGTTTTTTCCTCCAGTGTTTTGAGAGGTGATCCTTTACAAATACTGAATGCAGCCGCTTCCAGCGGAAGGAGTCTTTTGTATTAACTGTGCTACTTTTTACTACATAGCAGGATAGTTTAGTGACAGAATTTTCAGGTGAAGCTGTCAAAGATAAGGACATGAAGTACATTATAACAAATCGGTATTTTTCCTTTAGAAAACTAAAATATCTAACAAATAAAAAAGGCACTAAGCCTAAAGTGGTTTCTACAAAAGAACAATTCTTACTCAACACAAAGGAAACTAATCGGTGGGTAAATTAATGCTTTAAGCAGTGTATCAATCTCCTGGAAAGATTATGTGGTAAATGAAATGGTAGGTAGGCAGAAGTTACAAGTTTAGCTTAATAGCTTTTTAATTATATATTCTCAGTTAAACAGCACGTGTGGTATGTCAGACTTGTACTTTGCCTTGTTTGTTCTTTCTTACTGGTGATAGATGCTGACTTTTCTACAGTATGCTTTTATCTATGTGTATCTATATATATCTATCTTGAAACCTTACTTTTCCTTTATCATAGGTCCAGTTGTTTACGTTTTGGATCTTGCAGATCGCCTGATCTCAAAGGCATGTCCCTTTGCTGCAGCTGGTATCATGGTGGGCTCTATATACTGGACAGCTGTTACGTACGGAGCGGTGACGGTCATGCAGGTACACACATCTTCCCTCTTCCTGCCAGCTCTGAAAGCAAGAGTCAATTCAGACTCCTCTTTCCTGAGCTTAAAACATGCTTAGCTGCTTTCAGTGTAGTTACCAGTGAATTCAAGATGGTTTTTCATGTTTAACTGGTCATAGTTTATAACTGCAAGTTTGCCTGTTTGGGCATGGTTCAGTCTGCAGCTAACAAAATCCACTACTGCTCTAGCTGGCTGCCCTGTGTATGGCAGACTGGTGAACCCAGTTTGTTCTCGTGGGGAAGGTGCCATTACCACCTAGCTACCAATAATGAGTAACTCTTCAGTAAAGACATGAGATTTAATCTTTTATTTTACTTAGAGAAAAGCTTTGCTAGTAACATTCAAAGGGTTGAAATTGAAACATGATAAACTACTTTCTGGATAATGTGATTTTTTTTAATTGTACAAAGGAAAATACATGCCCTAAATGATGCAATTCATTCATAAACAAGAAATGCAAAGCACTGCAGATAAATCTTTTAATTACTTCAGACTGTATGATTAGTTGAAAGGGGGAAAATAGTTTTCCTGCTTCTGTTGTTTTGAACTTGCTGTTAAATAGAAAAGTAATGTTGACAGGTGGTACACTATTAACTATGGAAAGACTTGTTCATGGCAATTCTAGTTCAACCACAAGACCAGAGTTTTCAGAGATTGTACAATCAGAAGCACTTTTGTTACCCTTGTAGTTGTTGAGTCCTATATCAAGTCCATAATCTGTGTTTTGCCTGAAACCATAAAAGTATTTCTGATGCTAATTCAGCTGTAGATAGAATTAACAAACCAGTGTGTTAATAAATACTCCTCTGCACAGTTCTACTTTTAAATATAAAACATGGTTATTCTCTCATAAGTCATTTGGGTCTAGTTCTTGGGATGTGTGGTACTGCTCTGCACTTCTGCAGGTCACTCCCTGTCAAGATGGTGTGCTGTTTTGGTTCAGTTTCTGTGTGAGCTATGTCATCTGAAAGCAGAAATGGAGCCCAAATGAGTGGTTGCAGTTTCCCTGTACCAGTGTGGCCGAGGGTAGGGCAGCTGCATAGGTGATGTGTAATGGCTTTCAATGCCACCTGCATTCCAGTGGATGAGTCTGTGTATTACAGAGTGGTGCACTTAAGTATTTTTTCATTAGATATTTTGTTCTTGTGGCTCCCAACAGGAGCATTACAACCATGTGTAATACTACAACAAGACCTTGGAAATGTACCAGTCCTTTTCTCCTTGCTCACTGCTACACTGAGCTCTTTTTCTGTAGGAAATTGTGACCTTTTTAGCCACCCTAGAACTCCACAGCCAGATGGAAAAATAAATGCTTTATTCTGAAGTTGTTTTGCTTTTGAAGTGAGGATCTGTCTAAACATTAGTTTAGGCAGCTGGTCAAATGCCAGGTATGAAGAATTGGCTATTTTCATGATTTAGTGTTTTGATTGTATGGATGGCATGCTGGGCAAGACAATAATTTAGTTTTGCTTGTTGAGGAGGAGATTGAGCAGGTAGTAGAAAGGAAACTGTTCCACCACATTTGCCACCCCAACTTTGCTAGGTTTAATTCAATTTTTCTCCTGATGCATTTCAGACTCCTTTCCTTTAGTTGAAGGGCCAGAGAGAAACACAGAAGCTATTTTTAGACTTCAGGTGCAGAAAAATAAATACAGAATTGACATTGTGGTAGCTAAGTCAGTAACAAGTCAGATGGAGTTACTGAAAGCAGAGAAATACAGTATTCTAAAGCAGAGAGAGACAAGATACTGAGGCATTTTTTGATGGACAATGTCTATAAGAAGAAAAAGGATAGTGTCAGACTTCACAGCTTGAGTAGAAGATACTGAAGAAGCTGGAAGACAAATGCTGAATGTTTTTTCAGGAATAATCTTTTGGCAGCAACAATATTGGTTATGCCTATTTTTAGAGGCTGTGGTATAGAACATAACTTCCTGTTCTAGAGGTGTAACATGGAATGCTTTTCAGAGCAAGGCAAAAATGTTTGAAGGTACTGTGGTACATTACTGTAGCTTCTTCTCTGTGTCCTACCTATTCCAGAAGTACTGGTTTAGTTATTTTCCTTTTTTAAAATTTTGCTGTTGTTTCATGTTCTTACCTCCTAATTCTAATTTTTGTTCAATTGAAGGCCTGGTAAGTTATTGTACTTGTGGGGAAAACAAGAAGTCAATGAAAACACATCAGAAAATACAGTGCTTGACAAACATAATTATTATTTTAGCATTTTTAGGCCTCCCAGATTCTTACAGAAAAAGTAATGAAAGAGCCTGTTCTTCCTGGAAGCAATTCAAGGACTGTATTAGCATTTATACTGCTTAAATTGTGACAAATCCAGGGAATATCTACCACTCTAATATAATTTTTTATCATCAGTCCTATTAGATTTATTTAAAATTAAAACAATGTACTTTTTAGAAGACATAAGGCACCATTTTGTTACAGTTTTAACATGTGCATTTTATAAATGGAAAAATCTGATTTATTTTTTTGTATGTCAGAAGAAAAGTGGAGACACAACAGTAATAATGATCATTTAAAATCCTTGAACTAACTACATTTGAAAATAAGGTACATGTGAAGATATGCTGCTATTTCCACTACAGTTGAAAATAATGTTCATCTTCCTGCATTGTCCAGAGAAACAATAGCTAAATACTGTGATCTCTGTTATGTAAGGTATTCCTAAAAACCATAAAATTTTGAGAAAAACATCCTGAGGTACCTACTATCAATTTATCCTTTGAACAGTAGTATCTGATCAGTTTCTGAGTGAAGAATAGATTGTTGTAAAACTGTAAATTCTTAAATGCATTTTGGAAAGCCTCCTGTATTATTCGTGTTTCAGATATTTTGACTTTTATTTACACAGAAACACATGAAACCTTTCTTGAGATGGTAGGGAATTCTGTTACAGCTCTCTGCAAGATTAGTGATTTGCAAAATAGGGCTGGTAGCTCACCTGCATTATGCTCCATAAACAACCAAGGATACAAAGAGAAAACAATAAATTAGAAAAGATAGTGTTCTTTTTTCTTTAACTTAAAACATGTGGGCAGCTTCAAACAAACTCCACTTTTTAAGTTACATTTTTGTTCATTTGTACATTGTAACATTGATGTGGCCTTTGTTTTGTTTCTCAACTATATGCATATTTTCTAGGTTGTGGGTCACAAAGAAGGTCTTGATGTGATGGAGAGAGCTGATCCTTTGTTCCTTTTGATTGGCCTTCCTACTATCCCAGTCATGCTAATACTGGGCAAGATGATCCGCTGGGAGGACTATGTGCTCAGACTGTGGCGCAAATATTCTAATAAGCTACAAATTTTGAACAGCATATTTCCAGGTAATGTGATTACATTTAAAAGGAAATGCCAAAAGAAGAGACATAGTTCTCAAAAAGTAGTTGGGCTATAGATTCATAGTGGAGTGGGCAGTGGGCAGTAATGTACTTTCTGTGTTCTTTTTTGAGGCAGTGGCTGTGTAACCCTTTCTTCCTCCATTCTAATCCCTTTAGGCATTGGATGTCCTGTTCCTCGTATTCCAGCAGAGGCCAACCCTTTGGCAGATCACGTCTCTGCCACGCGTATTCTGTGTGGAGCTCTAGTCTTCCCTACTATTGCCACAATAGTTGGCAAGCTGATGTTCAGCAGTGTTAACTCAAATTTACAAAGGACAATCTTGGTAAGATTCAATACTCTTTGTTTCATAAATTATTTTAATAAAGGAATATGAAGTGTTGTGAAGGAGGGAGACGAAGGAAAAAGGAACATAAATTGATCCAGTGTTTTAAGAGCAGCATTTGATTAAAGGAAGAGGTTTTTTTAAGGTTGCCTGTCTTAACAGTGGACAAACATCATGTGTTTGTCTTTATGACTTTCGTGACAAGTTCATGACAAGGATGAAAGTTTTATGTGGCACTATAGTAGGCAGGCCTTAGCAGTAATTAAGGCTGACAATGAAGATGAGGAGCCAGCATCTTCTAAGAACAGTTTCTGTAAGGGAAGACTAGGGTTTATATTATAAACCTTTCAAAATTAGCTTTTGTTTACTGATTTTGAGATAAACACTTCGTTTCTTATTTTAATAAGGAGAGGAAAATTACCTCTCCATAGAATTCAAATGGAGAGGGGTATGAATGGCAATCTCTTCCTTTGTGAATAACCTCTCTGGTTGCAGCCTTTCAAGGACAAGTACACTGAGTTTGGTAATATGGAATCCCTGCTTATCTGGCTGTCACCATAGCCCATTTTCAATTCCTGCGTTTTTATGCATCCCTCTCTTTTATACAGAACAAACAGTGATACTGCAAATGTTCATGCAGACTAAAAGCTTCTTGGTGTCTCATTTTGAAGATTTGAGATAAACACACTGTAAAGCTTTCTAGGGGGAAAAATAGTTTGTTTTACAAAAATAGATTTTATTTTATTCCACTTTTGGCAAGTGCCATTTTTCACAGTCTAGTTATAGAATGGTTATCAGTACTATTCCTTGTGCCTTGTATAGTATACATTCAGAGAAGGGAGGAAAGTAGATACATATCTGCATTTTCTTTGTTCTTAAAATAAGATTTCGATTTTTAAGATTTAGAATACTGGTGAGACTTCCAAGGAAATAAAAGTTTCTATAGATTCAATCTGTAATCCCTTTAACCTCTGTAATAGTGCATTGTGACAGAAAATTTTGAGATACTCATTTGGAACGGTATTACTTAGTTAATCTTTAGAAGAAAATGCCATATGTTTAGAAAACAAATCTTCTCTAACTGGAAATTTTTAAGAACATTTGCAGTGATATGGCACTGAACTGTGCAGGTTTTCAAAATATCTTTTTATTTCAGGGTGGAATTGCTTTTGTTGCTATAAAAGGAGCTTTTAAGGTTTACTTCAAGCAGCAGCAATATTTGCGCCAAGCTCACCGCAAAATTTTAAATTATCCTGAACAAGAAGGAGCGTAAGGCTGTAACCTCCAGATGTCACAGAGTCTCACCTAACAGGTTTCCATGTTGTATTGGTTCCATTGTTATTGCACAGTAGTGGAAAATTGTGATAAGTTGCTGCTCCTCTATTTTTTTTTTTCTTTAAATACAATAAAGCACTGTCTTGTGGCAGGGTAAATCCTTTCAGCAACCACTGAACCTGAGAATGTGATTTAGCTTTCATTATTTTTTGGGTATTTCTGTTGGGCAATAGGCTTTTGAATTATTTTCTTTAAGCCAATATACTGAATGGGAAAAAAATCAACTACAGAACATTTTAAGTGTAGTTAGGTAAGCTATATCCAAATGCCTTTTCTATAGGTATTTTCATACCCTCGCTGTCATTCAGTTTAGCATTTCACACAGTGAAGGGAGATTGTTTTACAAGGGGAATGTGAGTCATTACCAAGGAGAAATAATTTTCCTTGGGTTTTGCTGGTATCAAATGGGGGAGCGTGAAGTACCCAAATGACAGAGAAAGCAGAAGATGATCACTCCCTACAGGACTTGTATGTCAGCTTTAACCACCTAAATGTTAGGTGTTAAAATCAGCATGGCTTTCAGGTGACTCTTTTATTACTGGTAATTTTCAGTGTCCTGTTGTATCTTCTGCAGTGCCTAGTGTCATTTTCTCATGGCTTTACTGGTTTGTAACTGGTGCTGGATAGCATTTTTTCCTCCACAGTAAAATAATTACAAGGGGGAAATAAATTTCAGTTGCTTATTTTGTAGTTAAGTATTAGAGACTTGTTTAGTTTCCATATTCCTTTATGTTGTGTAAATACCCACAGAAACCCTGTGAGAAAGCAGCATTGAACACTAAAGCTCCATTTGAACTGCCAGAGCAGGGCATCCCCTGAAGCATTCATACCTGAGTGTGTAACTCAGCTGTGCTCAGGACTAGGCTCCCTGCCCTAGTGGAAGTGCTGGCTGCAGGGGGCTGACGCTACACTTTGGGTACCTGAGCTGAGCATCCTGCCAGCAGGGTACTTGGCTTAAGGTAACTTTGCTCCATTTTGTAAAACACTAAGGATAAATCTTAAATGTGTAATAAAGTTTATGTAGACAGTAAGTTTTACTGTTCCCATATGTCTAAAGTAGTCAGCTGAGGGAGACATTAGCACTTCCATTATTTGATGTATTTCCAAACCTAATTTCAACAGAAATTGACTGTTCTGTGAAGTTAAATTCTGACAAACGTAATATGGCCATTGCATATTCATACCAGACCTAATCTGGATTTCATATTTGAAGTTCTTTCTTAAGAACAATTTCTTTGTTTTTCTCCAAGTTTTTTCTTGTTCATATTAGTATGTCAAATGCATGAAGAATAGCTTAAAAAATCTTTGAGTAGAATTATTCATAAGTAAATATTTCTTTTCACCAGAAATTAAGTAAATGCAGAATGGACTTCCTATTTGACTGCAATAATGTATGTTAGGAGAAATTCAAAGTAAGGTACCTTTTCTATAGTATGTTTATCTTAATTACCAAGATGTAATATTTTAAAACTGTACAGAATTGTATATAAAGGCCAATTAGTATTAAAAACCTATACAGGTGTTAAAAATTATACACTCAATCAATATCAAATACTTTTGAGGCTCTTGCTGTAATGGAAGAATTACTATAACCTTGTAAGTCTGCTGATTATATTTGTCTTAGTGGGCTCACTTTTATATAAAACCTAAACTGAGTAGCAGCCTCTGAAAGTTGCTACACTCTGTAAGATAGTCTTGAAACAATATAATATGTATTTCTTACAGAATTCCTCGTTTCAAGAAAACAGCTTTTCTGTGGTCTTCACTGTATATATTTCCAAACAATTTGTTACTGTTTTTTAAAGTTTCATGGAGAAAATTGAATGATGCTAATTAGTGGGTTTGAAACTTGTTTAATGGGAAAGCTCATTGTCTTCTCTGGAAGTTGAAGCTATTGTAAAAATACAATTATAAAATACTGTATGGACTGTAAGATGATTTCACATGAGTGGTTAAAGGTCATTACTCTGTAAATCTTGTTTTTAAGTATGGAAAATTGTAGTTATGGTGAATTAGGTTGAATAAATATTTTTTACACTCCTTAGTGTACTTTGTCAGTTGAACAAAAAGCCTGTAGCAAAACTTCTGAATGGAAACTGTGTTTTGTTTTAATGCATACCTAAAGATTTATATAATTCATTTTAAGTTGATGGACTAAAGAAATATCTTTGTGATAAAGAAAGAATTCCTTTAAGACTTAAGTCTGACATCAGGGTTTTTTCCTTCTCTCTTGTGATGAATAAGTGATATGGGGGAATGTGTTTCTTAAACATTTAAAGCAAAAGAACTGTTGCAATATGGGCAACTTCCAGTAGCACAGAAATGTGGTTCGAAGTGACTACATATCTTTAGGCTGGCTGATGTGCAGCTTTGATTTGGGCAATACATTTATCCCTCTTCATCAAGAAAGATAATACTGGCTGAAGGACTTGTATTTTTCCTGATAGCAAATTTATGTGTCATTACTTTCAGAACAGGGACTATGAAATGTTGTCTGGCATTTCTCTGTATACTCTTACCTGTCACATGGTTTCTCTTAGACTGCCATTACATCGACATAAAGGCACAAATTACCTGCACTGTGATTATGTAAATACACAGAAGATGCTTCTCCCCTTCTCTCTTTTCTTCTGCCCTAAACTTTTTAGATTTAAATGTACCCCTACTTCACTTGTTTGGGTTTTGGGGGGGGGGGTGTTTGTTTTTGTTTGTTTGTTTGTTTTGCTTGTGTGGTTCTTTCTTATAAAACTTAGAAGTATGTGTGCCAAAACTTGCCAAGCATTCTTCCTGCTTTACTAAGATAGAGAAGTCCAGATAGGCTTTATCAATTAATTTCAAGGCTTACTCAAGAGCTTGAGTGATACAACTCACTCTCCAGAAGGGCAGCTCCCAGTATATGTGCACAAAGAAGTATTGCTGTATGTGAAAAGTGTGCTTTGCACACAGGGATGAACTTCCCATTGGACCATGGCTCCTAGACTTTCAGAAGGTTTGAAGACATGTGGCCACTTTTTCCATTCTTGCCAGTTAGTTATTCACATGATCTGGATATTTTGTTGCTTTTGCTCCTCTGAATATTGTGACTATAAAGCAGTTATTTCTGGTGTGCTGTACTAAGTTGTTCAGTAGAAAAATTCCATTCCAGAACCACTAAAAGCAAACAACTCAACTGCCTCAACCAAACAACTCAGGAGCACCTGTCAAAACATATCGTGCAGGCATCTCATTTAATGCTGGATGACTAAGCCATGGAAAAAGCAATTACCTAAGCAGTGGTCCTCCATAGGAAGTACTGTGCTTTTAAAATAAAAAATAAACTCGATTCCTGACTTCAGACCACTCTGTGGTAGAGCATGCACAGCTTGATGTTTGGGGTGTTTAGTGTTTTTCAATTGCTCCTCTGCTCTTATTACAACTCAATAACACTTGGCTGCAGTTTAATGGGAGCTGATTAAGGAACACACTGCTCTGAGTATTTACTGCATGTCTAAGGACTGTTTTGTCAGCAGTTGTCATTTCTCTGACATGAATCATTACAAGAAGCCACCTCTGAAAGAACCTCCCCTTCCTAATCTTCTAGATACGTCTCATGCACAGAAGATAGAATATATAAAAATAGAATTAAAATCATTTTTAGTTTGATGAAAAGCAATAATTATTTTTGGGCTTTTTTTCTGCAGCAAAATGGTGGCTGGCTCAGAGCTGTTGATTAACTTGATGAAGTAAAGTCTCTACCACATTACCTTTCTTGCACAGTTCTAGGTTAACCTAGATAATTCCCTTGGGTAGTTCAGAGTTTGTTACTAATCATAGTTTGCTGCATTTCTGTTGCTTTTTTTCTGTTTCAAACAAGACCACAGTGCAGGAGGAAAGTCCTGCTTATCCAATATATTTGTACTTCAGGTTCAGGGGTTTTATGTCTTTTATTTTATTAAGCCAAAACAGATGTTGGTTAAATATAGGTAAAATATTACAATAACTGCCTCTCGAGAGCACTGCAGTAGCTCTATGGAACACAAGGTACATGATGAAAGGTATTTGGGGTAGGGTGGATGTGTGTAGGAATAAAAAGAGAGATAAAAGAAAATACCATTTAGACATATAGAATCTGAAACCCTCAGCATGAAGCTATGAAAGACTGGTGGGATTTCTTGTAATGAAGATGAGCAATTCTTTTGGAATTGCTGAGAGGAGCATGGAAAATTTGTGCTAGCCTATAAAAATATTTAAGTTTCAATTTCATTAAACAAAGATTTCAGGTTTTAAAATTTTTTTATACCTTTTAAATGCAGAACAGTTTGGGGGTTGTTTGGTTTGGTTTGGTTTTGGTTTTTTTTTTTATGTTCTCATGTTGGTTTCTTTTGAAAAATCAGATGCCATCTTTTAACAGCAGAATTCTCTACCCCAGCATGTTTTTAAATTTCAAGGTACTGTGAAAAAGAAAGTGCTTTCCACTTAGCATTAATTCTATACTGAGGAATACAACTGACCTTACCCCATTACCAATCTCCAAGTGTCTCATACTGCAGACACAGAATTGTGCTATGGATTTATGCTACATGGCTCCTTACTTATAATTAGGCTGTTTTTCCAATCTCACTTCAAAGATGAATTAAAATACAGACAAAATTAAAGAGTAGATTCACAAGTCATTTCAAAAGTATGGGTGCTTCCAATTCTTTTTTCAGCTCTAGATCCTTTTTTAAGAGAGATTTTTTATTTTCCTTTCTAAAGGGGTGCAGAAGTGCTGACTCATTACATCCATTTATTTTATTGTTTTGAAGTACAGGTACAATATTTACATAGAGGTACTGTATGCCAAATGACAGAAAACTATGTGTATTTCCTGAGCCCTGAGGCCAGAAGCTCTTTGGGTAGAGTCAGAGTAAGTGATCACAGATAAGTCCGTAACATTCCTCCAGCAACTCAGTTCTTGCTGAGCTAAATGATACACGCTGTGTGTTGAAATCCCTTTATGTAACACTGAAGAGGAGAATTATTACCAACCCACAGAAATATTTTGCCCTAATCTACAGATTAGGACCAAGGAAAACTAAACCAGCTTTACTAGTGGCATCTAGGGAACATTTTAGAGCTGATTCCATCAACAGATGATGGAAGTTGCCCCACATGTCAAGGAAATAATTTTGTCTCTTCAAAAATCTGAGCAGCACGGGGCATGAGTCTTGCACATCCCCTGCAAAGGGCAGCATCATGTGGCTTGCTGCACTGAGCTCTCTGTGCCTCAGTCTTTTCAACCAAGTACCAAGATGGGGATAAACCTCTGCCTTGCAGCTAATGGAATTACAGAATATTCTTAGGAAAGGAAACAAGAGTGCCAACGCCTCCCAAAACTCTATGGAGGTGCATATAGTAACTCATGTTACTGGCTTCTCATTTCAAAATGATGGCCCAGTCCTTATTTATTGCATGTATTGCATCTGGCATTCAGATGTTACATAAGGAACTATTTGCAAACCTCCAGCTGACAAGCAAAAGGTATCTATCGTGGTTATCTTATTTTTCCTTGTTACCACATTAATTAACTCCCATAAACCTCCCTTAGACTGTCTCATTATTGAGGAGTACATCCATTTATGACATCCACATATGAAGAGCTTTAAAAAAGTAATAAAAAAATCATTCTGTATAATAAGCTGGACACCTTCAAAAGCCTGTTAGACTGTCAGCTTTAGGAGCCTCATTACAGGGTAATCAGCTGCATCTGGATATTCCTCACAAGCAAATTAACAAAGCATTTCAAAAAGTAGTGCTTTGGATGAATTCATCCCTTTTGGCAACTGCATAATCATCATCTGGGAAGTCATGTAATCCTTTCCTTGCACCTTATGAATGGCATTCACTGAGCCAGTGCTAAATTGGCAGACCTATGAACATGACCAGGAGAAATGAAGTATTTCTGCATCAGCCATGATGTGCAGCTTGTAGGGTGATTTTTAGTTTTGGTTTGGTACTATTCTGTTTTTAAAAGAACAAGGCTTATCATATTGCACACCCCAGGAGAGGCACAAAAGGCATAAGCAAGCTGAATTGATCAGCATGTGGCAGTTCTGCTCCAGTCAAAAAGCAAATAAATATGCTGAAACATTACTAGGATAAGTCAAATGTACACCACAATTGCCTGGCTCATGGTAGGCAGACTCCAGAAGTGTATTTTTGCATTGTAAAAATCCTGTATTCTCAAAGCAAATTCTTTTCTTATGATCGCATTTTTGAGATGTAATTAGATGGCTTCAAAATATGCTTTTTTTCTGTAATAACCCTTTTTTGAAAAGTCAAGTATCTTTTTTTACTAATTGACTTATGGAGGAACAGAACAGTATTACCATCAAAATACAGTAACAACACTTGATATTCCCTGTCCAGTAGGTAAGGAAGCAGAAGGACGGAGAGACTGTACAATGAAATTAAATTCTTATACTATTAACAAGTGAATTTGGTGCTGTCTTGAGTAGTGCACGTAATTAATTTTGTCTTTTTAAATCCATTTGCTTTTTTAAAAAATCAACATTAATCAGCATTAGATAAACCACGACACCCATGCTCACACACACACGAACCCTGCCTTTTTGTTCAAAACTGATGCCAAACCAAAAGTGAGACCCAGAGTGGGAGCCACGTGCCTTGCCCATGCTGCCCCTTGGAACTCTGCTCTGTGCGCCTTTGTGGGTCCCGCTGGCTGGAGGAAGCAGCACTGCTGCACAGCAGGAGCTTGGGAAGAACCCCTTGAGACAAAATCTGCAGGTGACTCAGGTGTGCAAGGTGCTACAGGCAGTGACTGCAGGGCCACTTTTAGCTGCACAGTCTGGTTTTTGAGTCCCAGAAGTCCTACAAATGCCCTTTTCCATCTATAGAAACAAAGCAACCACCTGTCAACATAAGCTCTCAATCACAGAGGACTGGGATTCTTTTAGCACCTCTGATAAATCTGTCACAGCTGGATGTTGTTACAGGTTAAATATCAGGTGGTTTAACTGCAGTTACACAGCTCAGGAATGATGGCTCCTGGCCAAGCAGAT